TTATTATAAGATTCTTACATAACTCTGTAGTCATAGGCAAGAAAACTAAAATAGATGTTAGGAATTAAAACAGTTATAGTCCTTCTATAGTGTATCTGTGATTCTTTAGCATGTTAAGAGTGGAAGTAATGGTACGATCAAATAAAACGTGGAGCAGGATTTCAACAACTTCAGTCCATGATAATCAAGACAAAGGCTGCTCTTCTGTCAAATAAAAAAATCTTGTGCATTGTGTATGAAGTTGAGAGGCCTTATATGCATCATAGGAGGTGGAGCTAAAGGAATAAATCAGGTTATTTAGGCTGTATTTTCTAACACTGTGACCTAAACTGGGATTCTGTTTACCAAATTGATCAGCTGAGAAAAAGGGTGCAATTTCCACATCTTTGACTTCTTGGGAGATTTTCAGATCGACAGGAAGTTTAATCTTTATTTTTAATAAGAGCCTTTGATATTTGTTTTTATCCTAAGGTGGAACAAATTTAATCTGAATTCAAGGCATGCATTGTTGTCTTCAGCTTTCCATGACTGTTTATTAAACCGATTTCCAAACTTTGGTCTCAAAATAAATGCTCTGTACACAGACAATAGAACCAGCACCTTCAGTGCACTTGGCAATAAGTCATTGTGGAGACTGGCAGTGATTGGTTCACACAAAAGGTAGAGGAGCCAGGAATAACAAAGGTCCATGGGTCAAATTCTACCTCACATGTCCTTCTAAAATGTCATGATCTGTCAGATCTGCCTTTAGATATACTCATTTTCAAAATAACTGTTTTCCAAATTACCTATCATATTGGAAGTCTTTGTGTTCTAGAAATTCTGTCTCCATACAATATATCTGAGACTGCTATCCAATGGTGTTAAACAGGAATAATAAAGAGGAAAATGTCCACAGATAACTGGAATTTAGGAAATTCAATACTTTTATAATAGGATTAAATATTATATTATTAGCTCTATTTTGTCTTATTAACAAGTGAAATGCAATAAAATGATTGTGGCTACTTATACAAAGGCTGGGATTTTAGAACAAGGAAGGAAACTGATGATCAGTCAGACGCTATTTTTTCAAAGGCACTTTTCTAACAATGATTATGCACTGAAATGGTAATTGCAACTTCAAAATATAAAAAAAAATGCATAGCTGCTCTTGAAATAATGGATGCAGCATGGGCTTGTCTATGATTATTTTTTGTCACTGACTCTATACTAGAAATATCTTTAAATACAGAAGAACTTTTCTTGAGGAAATTATCAGCCAAACAAATAAAACTGCATTTGCCTTTTAGCACAGCAACATTGACATCTAGTGGCTAGTTAAGATTAATATTTAATATTCCCTGTATGACAAAAAAATGTGGAACACACCATTTATTGAATTTGACAAAGCATATATGCTCTGCCTGCTGTCTCCACATAGCCTCTAGATGATTACAGAATATCATTAGTCTTTGATGACTAGTTTGGAGCGACCAGTACCTGTGATGGGAACTGGTGAACGTGAGCCAATGCCCCTCATGTACAGCCCCACTGGTTTTCCCTGACTGTCAGGAAGTCTTAAGCTTGGTAATCAGCTGCTTGATTGTAGTGTATACCTTCCTCAGGGCTTGTTGGGAGGCACAGTGCATCCCTGAAATTGTACATGAGTAGAGCTAAATGAAAAAGAGCTACAGTTACTGAATGTGATGTTACTGGCATTTGTGAACGTCCATTTTTAGCTTTAATTGCTTTTCTACAAATTACTAGGGGGCTTCAAATAGGAGGAAATAAAAATCAGAACATGACAGATGCCAAAGTACTGTTTGTACAATGAAGACACAAAAATAAATGATTTGGCAACTTACTTCATAGACATGTAGAAGATAGGAAGGTGCCAATATCAAATAGCATTGGAAAGTAATTTCTTCATTTGTCAACAAAAGAACTGACTTAATGGAGAAAGAGGAAAGATTAAACAGGAAAAATCTGTTTTACTAGCATTCTTGATCATTCCACATTACTGTCTCATAATCAAACTCAAATGTAGTCTCCAGCAGTAGCTCACAATAGATGTAGTTGTCAGCAACCGCCCTGCCCTTGCTCTCCATACCAGTGGTAGCTGCCTCTTTGGCCTGCAGGCAAAGCCTTCCGATTTGCTTCATTAAAAATTGGAACAATTTTTTAATTGGCTAACCAAACTAATTTTGATTCAACAGATCAGATGCTGTTGAGTTTAAACAATTTTACCAGAAGATCTTAGGAAGCAATCATCTTCTGCAGGAAGGCTGATTCCTGGCTAAATACTGTTAAGGAGTAAACACCTACACTTTATGTTTCTTAAAAATACATAGAGAAACCTGAGTCTGAAAAAGAGCAATCAAATATAATAGTTCTCCAATATGTAACCTATATAGAAAGTTGAAGTACTTTTTCAGGCTGCAAAAAGGGAAAACTGAGGGAATATATGTCTTCCAGTATTTAAAGACATTATTCATATGATCATCACTTCTTGCTTTCTGTACAAGCTAGTGCAGGGCATTAAGAAATTAACTCAAGCAGCAAGAAGATTTTTCTTAGATAGTAGGAAAAACCCGTTTATACCTAAGAAGTTAATAGATATTAAGCTGTGAAATCTCCTACACTAGAACGTTTTACAAGCAGCTCAATAAGTATGGCAGGTATAGACGTTGAATTCTGCATCTCTGATGTATGTACCATGTCTGACTTAAGCTTTTTTGGATACACCAGGTCTCATGTTTTAGCCCATTCTAGATTTAGTGCAGAACTAAAGTTAAAGCTCCAGGGATGTTTTCTCCTTTGTGGACCACGAAGTTCAGTGCTACTGTAATTTAAGACTATTGTTTCACATGACTGCTGGCCTGATCTAAAGGAGAGCTGCTGCTGAAAAGGGCAGCCCCTTTCAGCACTTTCACTTCCGGCCCCTTTCACTTCCCACTTCCCGCCTGTCCCATCCCTCTATCCCTAACATTTTTTTGCCACACCAAGGTTACTCATCCAGACACCACATCAGGACAGTCACAGAAGCTAGGGTGGAAGAAAATTAACTTCTGCAGTTCAGCAGGAATGGTCAGATGAGCACTAGGGCTAGTTCAAGAAGAATGTTCTCTTCAGTGGCAGCTTGATTTACTTGTAAAGATTGGCATAGATTGACTTGTGAAGGAAAGCTGTGCTCCTAAGGTTCGGCTGTACAGTCATTGAAATTGAATTTAAAATATAGCACCTCCTCGTCTTTTCTTTTTCCCGTACCTTCCAGTCCTGTGGGACTCATATGAGAAAAGTACCTTTTTAGTGTCAAAATACTGTTGCTAGAATTAAAATATGGAGATACTCCCACTGGAGCAAAGTATAATGCATATACCAAGGGCATGTTCAGTTTCACCTTCCAGTTTATTTAGGAGGCCATTTCTGAACCCATACTCCAGCTGTAGCTTACTGTAGTCCACATATAAAATGCAGTCAGATGATGTTCTAAAGCAACACAGTTAGACATCAGAAAAGCATAGCATAGCAAGAGGAAATTATCTAGCTGCTATTCTCAGAAAAGCTGTTTAGAACATAACTTCAGCATCTATAGCAGCTGTTATAGTCGGACTCACTGCAGAATTTTCCTGTCCTAGAAACTGTATTTTTTTCTATATGCAGGCTTTTGTGGCCACAACACCATGCCAAGAGATTCAAGAATTGTAAATATTTCCTCTACCTTTCCCACTCTTCTTCAAAGTGCATAATCAATGATATGTTGGCCCAGTTTCCAGAATCATGTCAGGATTCATTCACACTAAAGCAGTCTGTCATTTCCATAAGACAGGAACAACAAAAAGATGCCTGCTATTACAGCTTTGAGGGTATACATTATTTATTTTGATATATTTAAATTATTAATTAGGATAATTCCATTTTTGCAACAGAGTCTCTGTCCTTTAGAGGAAACGGGCTGCATTCAGTCGGACTTCAGCAGAATACTGCATGCACTGAAATATGCACAGTGCCGCTCAGTTCCTTTCCATGGGACACTTTAGCATCATCTTTGCATCCCTTCACAACAATAATGACAAAACAAGTAACATAAACACTAGGTCAGGAGAAAAATAATAGATCTGAAAACAGAGATTTAGTAGCCAAGGTAAGGAGATACAGTGCCAACTATGATCTGTGATTGCCTTACTGCAGAAAAGCAACTATCTATAACTTGTATTTTACAACTAGCATATTACAAGGGCAGCAGTAGTATTTAAATTTTTTATATTTCCCTGTATTAAGTGTATCTGTGGTTTAACTATCCAGGAATCAATAACACAACTGGAAACTCTAACACAGTCCAGAAGAAAATACCTGTGATGGATTACAGCATTTCAGACCTCAGCAGTTCAGGTTGTGTTTGATGGGAAACTATCAATTCATTGACAGCTAGTTGCTGTATCTTCGACTTAATGCCGAAGATTGGTACTTCCCAGCTACTTTATCAGCAAATATTTTTGGCTTATAAAGCTTCTTTTTTATGATGCAACCCACAGACTCCCAAACTCTTATCGCCCAGGTGCCGTCGGTCCTCACAGGGGAACTGAGTCATATACTGCCTTTCGTTCTTCTAACTGCGAGATGCGACCGAAGAGAAGAGAAGCCGCTGGCACAGGCAGCAATCAGTGTCACAGATCGCCGTGCCGCGGCCGCGATCTCGATCTGTGCCGCGCCGGGAGCAGCGCGCACCTCCCGGGCACGCCTGGCAGCTGCTGCCCACCGCAGAGCGCCTCCGGGGCCTCCCTCCCTGAGGGGTCCCCTCCTCCGCGAGAGGTCCCCTCCCGAATAACGACCCCCGCCTCCCCGATCCATCCCGAGGGACCATTTCCGCGGAGCCCCGATTCCCGCAGCGGGGTCTAAACCGTGCCCCCACAACAGGGACTGCGCTGCCCGAAAGCGCCAGGGATGGTGCGGGGGCGACCCGGGCCGGGGAGAGGGGCGCACTCGGGCCTTTCTGAGCCCCTGCGGTAGAGTCCTACCTTCCCAGAGGCGGAGACCGCGGCAGCCGGGGCCGCTGACCGGGTTCCCGGGCAGGGAGACTCCCCTCGCCCCTAAACATGATGAGCGGCTTTCCCCTCCCCTCCCCTCCCGTGCCGTGCCGGCTCGCCCTCCCCCGCGCCCCGCTGGCCCGCGCCGCCCGCCCGCGGCGGAGGGAGGGAGGGACGGAGGGAGGAAGGGAGCTCTCGGTGCGGCCCTGCTCCGCCTCTGCCCCGCTTTCCGGGAGCGGCCCGCACAGCAGTGCCGGGGCCGGGCGGCGGAGGCGGCCCTCGCCGCGCCGCGGCCATGGAGCCCGACCAGCTGCGCCTTTCCGCGGCCGTGAGTGGGGCCGGGAGGGAGGGAGGGATGGAGGGGGCCCGGCAGAGGCGGGCGGGGACAGGCCCGGCGGAGGCCGCGGCCTCCATGACGGCGGGGCCGGGGCGGGCGGTGGGGCCCGGCCGTGCCCATGCGGGGAAGGGCCGAGCCGTCCTCCCCTGGGCGGCGGGCGAGCAGCCGGGGTCCGTCGTGCCCGTGCCCCACTCCGGCGGCGGAAGAAGGGTCAGGCGGGCCGGGACGGCGCTGGGCCACCTGCGGGAAAGCAAGCGAGAAAAAACCGCTTCGGAAGCTGCGTCCGACCCACACGGGCCGGTGTTCAGTTTCTCCGTGGAGCTCCACAAAGCTGTGATCCTCGATGTCGTGGTCTTCTGTTACCTACCTTTTACTCCTACTTTTTCTTTCATAGCTATAATAAAGGGGCAGTATCTTGCGAGTGCCTTTTCTCTTTGTTAGGGCCGTTCACTGTATAGTATATGCAGGCACTCCTTGTAATAGGTTTTACAAGGGAGAATATGTTTGAAGCTTACTTATCCTCAGTTTTTTTCCCCAAGTGGGGTGGCAAAGCTTCATAGACCACATCAAGGCGGGAAGAGCACATTGCAGTGAAGCATCCTGACCTTCCACACAGCATCCTTTATCCATCAAGGATGGCTCCTCAAGTCCTCTTACAGATCCTGTGCTTCATTCAGACCCTCCCCAAACAGTTTATACTAAAAGCACTCGGAGCTGTTCTGGGCCACATCTGGGCTGTGAGCCGACACGGCCACAGACTTGCGTGCTGGGCAGATAGAGGGAAGGATGGGAGCCAGGCTTATGAGAGCAGTGGCAAGACTGGGCCCGAGGTCAGGAGCCACCAGTTGGGAATATTTTATAGGATTGTTTTGTCTATTTTTCTTCTTTTTGACTGTTTCGTGTTCAGCCACGTGTTGTGGTCAGGAGTCAACACAAACTGCGATGTGCACATTTCACCAATGTCTGTTTACCCCATTGGACAGGCTTAAAGGAGGTGCCTTCTCTGGATGCAAATACCTGCTGTAAATGCAGTGCTGGGCAGTTTGTAGTGTCCTATATTGACATCAAGAGTTAGTATCTCGGTCTGACATCTGTTGTGTACAACGTTCATGCATTTACTGTGTTTTGTGTGGGTTGTCAGAGCCAAGTGTTTAGTGGACTCTGTTCTGTCTCCAGTTGTTTCATTATTAAATAATCCAAGATGTTTGGATTACTTAAATGTGAGCTAAATGTACCCCGAAGCATATTTGTGCTTGTTTTAATTTTGTGGTTCGGTTTGTTTTGTTGTTTGGGAATAAAAAACTCAAAGTTGGTGCAACAGCAAAATACACAGAACAATTTAAGTTACATAGTTTTCAGGTTTGTGTTTTGATAAAACACTTGGTTTTTGTATTAATAATTTACTAGAGGCATTCTGAGTCTGACAAATTCCATCAAAGCAAAGTTTATATTTAAGGGTTTATTAAATCGTGAAAGTAGTTATTTTAAATTTTGTTGATGATTTTGCATGTCCATGTCAATATCTGCTAGGCTTGGCACAAAACTTTGGTATCTGCTCCTCTATGTCTACAATTAAATATTAAGTATATATATATATATATATATTTTTTTTTTTTTTTTTGTGCAGAAAGGGAGAAATCTGTTATGAAACTTTACAGTATTAAGTAGGTGTCTGTTTACATCATCCTTCCAAAATGGCAAGATTCATTTATGGATGAGATTCCTTGATGGAGTTCATGAAATGAACTAAGTATATTTTACGAATTGTCAGGTCATCTTGGAGTCATCCTAAGGTGTCAGGCTAGAAATCATTCAGTCTCAGTCTCTATGAGTGTGGTCCAGCACTGCTGGAGCTGCTGCTGTCAAAGCCAGCACCAGTGCAGTACCTGTCTGTCCTGCTGTTGCCTTCAACAGAGGAGTGATGCAGAAGTGTCAGAACATCAGTCATGGGTTGTGTTCTTTTTCACTCTGAATTTATCTGTGAGGTACTGTAGTGATTCAGAGGAATGTCTGAGGCTGAGAAGAGCTTTCCTGTTGGAAGAACAGCCTAGTCCTTAGCCATACCTGTCCTTATATTCCCAGTCAGCTTTACAAAAGGCAGTCATCAGCTTCTGAGAGCCCTACAGTATGACTCTGCTGGAGCAGCTTTTCTTGCGTCTTTTTTTTCTTTTATTTGAGTCATTCCTGGAATCACTTGAGAGCTGAATAGTGGGGATGTCTAATTCTTTCCTGGGGTACCTCATCCAAGGTCAACTGCTTTGTGAAAATATCCTTTCATTTGAGCTTTCCTTTTCTGCACTGTTTCAGTACTTCATCTGTCTAGGACTTTCATGCTCATGGTGTTGGCTGAGACTTCCCTTTTGAGTATGAAGGAAGCTCTCGATGTTCATTTGGGAAGCATTACTAATGCCACTTAAAACCTTCCCAGATTAGCATGATATTTTTTTAATTTTGAGGCCAAGGATAAATATATTTGCTGCATACTCATATGTCTTAGTTTAGGGCAAATTAGGAAGGAAAACTCCAAATGGGGATTTCCCTAGGGAAATGCCCCTCTCCACTAACTGGTCCGGGAAAAGAAAAAATTCCTTAGAGAGAAGTGGAAAAAGCTGTTTATTTAACAGAAATTGAGTAATATTAAATAATAAAACCTCTTGCTGTTCAATGGGATGGCAAATCTAGGAGGAAAAAAAGTCCTTTTCATGTGGTGTAGCTCGGCTCGCTCAGGTTCTTATCAGTCCCTCCGTCGCTGGAAAGTGCCGAGGCCCAGGCCCCGGTGGGCCACAGGCGTGAGCTCCCGGGGTTTGGCTGGGTGTTCAGTCCAGAGCAGGCTTGCACAGATCCAAGAAAATTGGGAAAAAACCAAACAAAGGTCCAGGGAACTCCTCTGCCTCAGCTAGCTAGAACTAACTAAAAGCCAGAGAGAAGCTCTATCCCGCTGTCTGTCCGTGCTGCAGACACCACAGTCCAGGAGCGGGATGTGTGGGAGTGATGTTTTTCCTTAACACAAACTGTGCGCTTCTTCTTCCCCCTCTCTTGCTCTCAAAGCCAGTCTTAAAGGTGCAGAACTTAATATATAACATAAACCAGACGATTGGGGATACCAGTATCATAAAGTCACCTCAGGACATTATAGTGTGTTCAGACTTTTCTAAAGACCGTATAAGCTTCATTAACAAAACTAGTGACAGGCTGGCTACTAGAACCACCTAGCTATGGGACTACATTGTTGCCACTTTTTTGCCAGTGCAGGAGGATGGTTTACAGCAGACATCTGCTGCACTTGTTTATTTGGTTTATTTATATTCTTTGTTTGTTTGGGGGGGGCTGGTTTTTTTTTATTATTATTATTTGTTTCTGGTTTGTTTGGTAATGGACAATTTTTATGTCTTGTGGGAAAGAGAAAATAGTTCAGAAAAAGCTCTGATTTGCTTTTGTTGAAATAAATATGTGTAGGAGAATTACGTGTTCTTCAGAAGCATCCAGAAGAGTGGGAGGAACATTACAGTATTTGTTTATTACTATTATAAATAATAACAATAATAATAGTACAGGATTTTAAAAAATCTTAAAAAGAATCCTTCACTGTTAGTTTGAGAAGATAGTGTTTTACATATTGTCCACAATACTAACCAGTTGTTGGTGTCAGTAGAGGATACAGCTGACTCTTCAGCATGACATTTCTGCGAGGCATTTGCATCAAGTGAAGGCACCTCATCAAAATCATCCTGAGGAGTTGTGTATTTTTTCATATTTTGTTTTTCTCAGCTTTTTGGCTGAGAAGGAATATAACTGTAGGTAATATAAGAATTAGCTGAATCAAACACACTTGTTTTCTAACCCATTGTCTTTTCTTATCCACAGTCTCACCAGGATACTTTGATAGTGTGTGTGGAACCTTTCCATATGCAGCTGTATTAATAACCATCCCTCTTACTTTTACCTCAGTTGTGTAAAACCTTGTTTGGAGTCGGGGCTGGTTTATGTGGTGGCCAGCTCTGGCTTTTCTCTCCCTGTGTTGTCACTTCAGCTGGCTCCTGTAGGTTGTGGGCGCTCAGGGAGGGCTAAGGAAACTTACGTGGGTTAAAATAATATTTTTTTGCATAGGTTCCTTTGTAACTTGTGTGAGTTGTTTAATCTGGCTCATGTGTACTTTCACAATTGTAAATGAGCACCTGGAAGGAAGGTACCAGAGTAAGAGTGAGGGAGAGGAGATGGGATCTACTTAAGCCATCGCATCTCCTGAAGGAATTGAGCATAGAGCTGTGCCTTGAAAAATGAAGGCAACAGATCTGGGCATCAGTCAGTGCTTGGTCATTTGAAAGGATTACAGTATGGATATTTTGGTTTTCTTATATGCATTAATTTGACATTGTAGTCCCGAAGTGTGTGAAAAAGAAGATTTCATTTTAATTATTGTTTCAATCAGATTTCCAGCTACTGGTGTAAGATCTGATGATCTAAAAGGCTGCATCACAGCCCAAGAAACTTTTATTCCCATTATCCTTCATTTATAATGTGGGCATATCACTTGCTGTCCTACAGCCCCCTGAAAGACTAGCTCCTGGGGAAGACATTCACCTTTGTCTTACATAAATAATGTTGTTTAGAAAATAAACACCCAAGGTATTTATCATACTTTCAGTTTGCTGCATCTGTGTGAGGGTTAAATATGAAGACATATGCATATAAATTATTTATAAAGTAATCTATTTTACAACGTGATTTTTCTTTGTCCTGTATTATCTGAAATAT